CTACACAAACACGTCATTGTACAGCGAATGGCAACATGCTCTCGGTGATCTGAGGGCACATTGTTTCTGCTCCTAGGTTCTGTTCTACTTTTCACTCTGCGGTGATTAAGTTTCCTGTCCCTACAGCAAACACCGCTCCATGTGCTGTGAGCATCCAAACAAGTGAGCTGCTGTTAACTTTTTAAAAACATAACACAGCATAATCAAGCCTTTCACTGCAAACCCATACAGCATCTGGTTACATTAAATTTTTTTTCCCATTTATATATGGGAAACCACCAAGTAAAATATAATTTCGTGTTTAACTCAGGTTGAAAGCTCTGAATGTATAACTTAGTTATCATGCTTGTTTATACAGGTTAATAAAAGCTTAATAAAGTTCCCCGTCTTTTTATTAAAACCAAACAGACCTATTTTTCTCTCTTTACAGCATTGCCATTATACAGTATACAGTAAAGGGACTTAAAAATGATTCACTCTTTGATGGGACTAATCACCTACATAAAAGAATCTCATCTTGTAAAACATGGAGGTGGGCAAAAGTCGGTTAATAATAATAAATAATAATGCGAGAATAAACTCTTTTGCATACTCACAACTGTAAACCTATTTTTGCCCACCCCTGTATATCCCGGACATTGGCCAAATTTCTTAAAAGCATGCGCACTGCAGGTTTTCTGGGATTTATCTGAGCATCGTGTGGTCCAGCAGTAGCCACTACTCAGCACATTGCCCCTAGAAAAATGACTACAAAAGTTGGCAGGGCCTCACGTTCGTAAACCCTCACACGTCACAGATACAAAGGCTGAAGGCCAGGGAGGGTAATGGACTTGCCCAGGCAGTTCTTGGTGCAAGAGTGATCCTGGAACCCAGGACTCCTAACCACAAGCCAGGCTGCCATGTCGTGGCACCTCCAGGCTACCAACCCACAGGCACTCCTGACATCCAAGCAGGAAGAGGTCTCCCCAACCTCCAGCAAACTCCATGAGCTTTGTCTGGCAGCAACAACAGTAAGAACCAAGGCTTTGATCTCACTGATGCCTGAACTCCCCGTCTGTGGCAATATCCAAAATAAGGATCATGCCCAGCCTGTGTGGCACAGTGGTTGCAAAGTGATCTATGAACCAGGAGGTCTCCGTTAGATTCTGGTCAGGGCACATGCCTGGGATGCAGGCTCCATCCCCAGTAGGGGGCGTGCAGGAGGCAGCTGACCAATGATTCCATCTCATCATTGATGTTTCTATCTCTCTCTCTCTCTTCCTCTCCCTCTCCCTCTCCCTTCCTCTCTGAAATCAATAAAAATATATTTTAAAAACAAAAATAAAGAAACAAAATAAAGATCGGTGCTTCTCCAAATTTTGGTCACTTCTCTTCTGCTTTTCTCCCCAAGGATGAAGGCGCTGCTAATTTTTCTTCCTCCACCCACACCTCTTCCTGGGCCTGTGCCTCAGAACCTCAGCGCCCTGGTGCCAGGCCTGCCTCTAAGTAAGTCGTCCTTAAAACCCTCCTGCGCGTTACAGGCTCTCACCCAGGCTGCTTCATAACAGGACTGGAAAATAGATGCCAAGCTGTGAAGATGTCCAGAGATGCTCTGGGTTTTGGCTGGTTTGCTGGTTTCGGTAAAGTGTTCTCACATGCGTGAACACACAATGCTGGAGGCACTTCTTTTTTTTTTAGACCATTCAATTATCGTCGCTCTTTTTATAAGGAAACCTCTAAATCTCTCTGACATGCCTTTCGTTTGCTCAAGGTCCTACCTGTTAAAATAGGGGTGTTCCCTGCAGGGCATTTTCCATGGCTTTCTGTCTCCGTCCCTACGACAGAGGCAACTCCTGGTCTGATTCATAAAAGTAGCCTTCCATTCAGAGAAATCTGTGCATCTGCCAAATTGAGTAAGACACTTCACAGCTAGCTACTCTTGAAGCTCTCAAATTTCATAAACCGAATATGATTTTAAAACTACTACTTCTAAAATACAAACCAACAGAAATAAAAGTTCCTATTAGAAAAGCTTAACTTTTTAGTTGCTCTTATGTCCCTGAAAATTTCTAAAACGTCTTAGAGTAAAAATCTTTTTAAATGCTAATCTTTTCACATGCGGTGAGGGTACATTATAAGTTTAGTGTATAACACTTAAGTGTTATTAAGCACATAACCATTTAAAAAAATTTTTTTAATGATTCATTTATAACAGGTAGCTGGCTATATATCTCTATACACATGCTTCTGAATGGCTTGTGAGTGAGTTTCGTACACATAGATCTTTCCCCACTGAGCCTGTACATGGCTATGTCCCTGACTTCTCCTACCTTCCCTGGTACGATGCTAGTCCACAAAGGTAAAGGCTTCATGACAGAACATATCTGTTCTAAAACCAAAACCTGCCCTTCCGCTTTCCGACACGCCTAACTTTCCATGGGAATAATTCACACGCTGCTAGAAGGCACGCTGCAGTACGGTATGCTCACCAGAACCGGCCGCACGCCTGATCCTCTGGTAAGATAAGGTCCGATCAGCACTGAGCGTTCTGCTGTTGCTGGTGCACCTCAAGCAGGAAGCAGGAGGGCCCACTTTGGCTTTCGGACCAGGTGTTATCCGCACACTGGAGGCGTCGGGCTTGGGTGTATTCCTCCCTGCGGGGGTGGCAGCTTTTGAAGCAGAACCCTGCGAAGAAAATAATTAAAATGGGAGTTCAGATCACACCGTCCCCACGCTACTCCCTGTGGTGTTAGCTACGTGAACGAAACAATTCGTTTCTATGGCACTGTCTTTTTAAATTTTTTTTTTAATTTATTGGGAGGATATTGATTAATAAAATTGAGTTTTTAGACTGCAGATTTCAGACTCAAGACGACATCAACTCTTCTCTCCATTTCCATCCTCCCAACCTTCTCTACATGTTTCAGATTTGTCAGCCCCCACCATCATGTGGCATAAGCCAGTTCCTTAAAATCAACATTATATATCTTTCTATACATACATATACACACACATATACATGCATCTTTATGTATTCATACACACATAAAAAAATCTATACACATATACATATTGCTATAGACTGAATGTTTGCAGCCCCCCGCCCCCCCAAAAAAATCATAAATTGAATTCATAAATCTGCAATGTGAGAGTATTTGAACGTGGGGCCTTTGAAAGTTGATTAAGTCTTGAAGGGGGAACCCTTATGAACGGGATTCATGACCAAAAGAGACCCCTAAGCGCTCTCTTGCCACCTCCTGCCACGTGAGGCTACAGGAGAGGAAGCGGGCTCTTTCTAGACACCGAATCTGCTGGTGCCTTCATCTACGCCATCCCAGCCTCCAGAATGGCGAGAAATAAATGTTGGTCATCCACCTTTTTAAAAAGGACAATTTGGTTAAGCAGAGATGCCAGATGAATATTTAATTTTCATTTTTCCCATGAAGAAATTAAAGCTCTTCATAGTCTACTCTTAAAATCATCATTATCTGCCTTCTGTCCCCTTCAGCGAAACTGTTCCCAAGGTAATCAATGACCTTGTAGGCCTTCTCTGTGGCATCTGATGACGATGAGTCCAACTTTCCTAAATTTCTCGACACGGATCTTCCTGGTTTTCTTTCCACCTGTCTGGTTATTCCTTCTCTGGATTCTGCTCTTCTAAGCCTTTCAAGGCTAGCCAACATGAGGGTCCTAAGTTGGTCCTGTTCTCTTCTCTCACCATGTACTCTCCCTAGATGATTGTGTGCACTGTTTCAACCTCCTATACATTGTCATGTCCAAAGTCCGCATGCCCAAGCGAGCAGTCTCTCTGGAGTTTCCCAGAGAGCTAGCTTCTATCTGCACCTGCCCACTTGGCATCTTCCAGGCACCGCTACCCAACAATGTGGACAATGATCATGTGGCTGTGGTTTACTGATCCACCTGAGTCCTTACAGGATGAAATCTACCATTTTAAGTTCGAAATGCATGCCTCAACCCGTTTAATCCTCATAGCCCTACAAAGGTGGATGCTTTCATCACATTCTATTTTACAAAAGAAGAACAGAAAGCAGTTTCTAAAAGTAAACTCACTTCACCCATCCATCTCAGAACATCCCTCTTCCCATAGGCACCACAACATTCCCAGACACCCAACTTAAACAATAAAAGCTTCTTGTAGGTGCTTCTTTCTGAAACCCCTCTCCATGGCATCCTCTTCCTTCTCCAATGACCCTGTAGGCCTTCTCTATGGCACCCACCTCAGGGCAGGCCTACATCAGTCCTTGGCAGGATTACTGAAAACACATCCTCAGGGTCTTTCTGGTCTCACCTGCCCCCAATTCATCTTGCACTCCACCGCGAAGGCAGTCTCTCTAGAGTCCAAATTAGGTTCAGAGCGGCTTCCCTCTGTCTGCCAGGTACAGTCAGCCTCCGAACAAGGCAGGCCAGGTCCTATCAGACGTGTCGGCCCCTGCCGTCTTCAGCTTACTGCTTATGGCTCTGCACTCCTGGCTCCCGTCACACTCACTGCCTGGAGTCCCCTGCATGGGGATACCCTGTTTCTTCATCTTTGTGCATGCTCTTCCCTACAGCCAGAGCGCCCTCCCAATGCATGCTTGCCCTTTAAGTTCCAGCTGGCGACTAACACAGTATCCCCCCAAGAAGCCTTCCATGACTACTCTCCCCCTCACCACCACCCCATTCTGACCCCTGCGGCACAGCAGCCCATATATACGTAATACTCTCAGTACTTAATACCCTTTTCGTTTATCATCTAAAATTACCCGCTGCAGCCCTAGCTGGTTTGGGTATTACCAGTGGACAGAGCATCAGCCTGTGGACCCAAGGGTCCCGGGTTCGATTCTGGTCAAGGGCATGTATCTCAGTTGCAGGCTCCTCTCCGGCCGGGGCCCTGGTCGGGGTGCGTGCAGGAGGCAACCAATCGATGTTCTTTTCTCACACAGATAATTTCTCTCTCTTCCACTCACTCTAAAAATCAATGGAAAAATATCCCCGGGTGAGGATTAAAAATAAATAATAAATAAGTAAAAATTACCCACTGCACTAAACACTATGCGATTGGCCAGGGACTTTGTCTTTCTTTTCTATATCCCAACACTCACCACCCACTAGCATGCAGCAGGTACCCCACAAATGTTCCCGTTCTACATACAGGAGATGAGCGCCTAGGCCTTCCTCCAAGAGCAAATTCCCACAACATAACCTGTCACCTGATCTTCCCTTTCCATCAGGAAAAACGGAGCCTTGTGGAGACTAAGTAACCGCCTGAGGTCCCTCTGCCAGTGAATGATGGAGCTACAACTTGAAACCATGTCTAACTCTGGAATCCTTGAACTGCATGTAAATTCTTGTTGTTTAAAATGGAACTATAAAGTCCTCTCCCCTCCCCGCAAATATCTGAGAGTTGCTATAGAAAAAACAGTTTTTCACTATAAGAAGAAAATGGGTTTATTTAATGTACCAGAAATCAAGTATGTTCGGGCTGCAAGAGACCTCAGTCATCACCTTGCGGGGGGACGGGGGGGGGGGCCCTCAAAAGATGACTGGCCCCAAATCACATGAGCGATCAGAGGCAGGATCCAGAGTCCTCCTGCTCACCAGAGAGGACCTCACTCCCTGGACCTGCTTCCTCACCAAGAGACCAGGTACTATTTCTATGTTGATACTGTGCCAGCATCCCCAGCCCTTCCTAAACTGTGGTCCAGTACATTTTAAAGTTCATAAAAAAGCCTTTTTTCCCTCTAGATAGAAAACAATCAGATGTGTCACTTCAAATAACGAATTACACTAAAACAGTAAAGTAGCCGGTTCTTCTAGCTTACTATTATACCCAAAGGAACATTAATATACTCAATATTCAAAATACTAAGCTTCAGGAATTTCTTTTCCCCAACGTGCAGGTTTCCAATTCACCCTCGAAAATGTACCGGCAAGAGAAAGGATGACTGGCTAGTGTATGAACAACTGAAAGCAAATGGACACCTAGTTCTGCAATGTGATTGACAATTAGTGGGTAACCAGCTGCTAATACAGCCTGAGTCTCCCCCACCACTCCCTGAAGCAGGCAAAAATCTTACTTACCAAAAACAGAGACCCATACTCAAAGGTCTCATTCAAAATGTCCTTCTTTAGGTCTTGTTTTTCCAGAAGGGCCCCGTTTTCCTGTTCGCCCTTCTCTTCAGGGCTAATCCTCTGGATGTTGGACACGTACGTCATTTCCAAGCACTCCGGGCTTTCCATGGTCACCGAGAACAGGCCCCTGCACTTCTGGAGAAACGAAGCCACGGACCCGGGCTCGCAAGCCGAATTAGAAGAACTGGCTTTGTCAACATCTTCCCGATTCGATTTCAGGGCAGGTGTTGTTCTTGAAACCCTGTGGGAAGCATTTTTAGAATGAGTTGCAACACGCTCAGCCTGGCTCGTGATGAGTTTATTCAACTGCTGCTTCTGCGTCTTGTTAATTGGGGTTTCTGTTTTTGTGTCTGCGTTCAAGTCGGATCTCCGTGTTTTGCTCAGCACTGTCAACTGTCTCGAGGAAGACACCGATGAGGGGGATGAGGAGGCACTGGTCAGCTGAGGCCTGGGTGTGACCTTTGACAAAGCAGGGTCGTGGGACTGCAATGCAGGCCTCGACATCACTTTGGCTTTGACGTTCTTGAAGTTCGGTCTTGGGTAACTTATGATTTTGTTCTTTCTGACTTTGCTGCCTATCGGGGTATTTGCTTTGGTTGTTGGCTTTCCTACGTTCGGTTTAGAAAGCTCTGGGTGACTCTTCTCCAGGTTGCTACATTTCTCGGTCGCCTCGATGGGGGAAACAAAAAAGGTTGCATTCAGGGGGTTGGGGATTGGCGTGGACATGCAAATGGTGTCATTTGCACTAATGACCATATCGTTTTCATCCCAAGTCAGTTCAAGTGAATGTCCAGGGGGGCTACCTGGGGCCAGTTCTATGGTATCTGTATGGATTTCCAGGTCCTCTTCATGGGGGGCAATCTGTGTGTGTTCGGCCCCGGTGACGTTGGGTTCCGGGCACAGCACTGGGGCTGTGCTGTTATCAAAAGCTGGCACCAGGCAAGGGCATTTGTCATCGATAAGACAACCAGACACTGTTTCTCCTAGATTTTGGCCCATTTCCTTTGGCCCATATGAGCTGGCTGAATGTGTCTCACTATGTGGTTCATCGTTAGATAAACAAAAGAACTCCTTCACTGCAGACCCGCTGGGAACATCCATGCCATCAGAAACTGGTGTCAGAGCGTGTGCCTCTTTTTCTCCAGCTCGTCTTTGCTGTGGCCCATCTGTGTACTCACTGGTGACATTTCCTGAAGAATACGGACCGGCATTTCCAGCATCTGGAACAAAAGCCTCAGTTTGCATCAGCACCTCAGAAAACGCTGTGCACATTGTGCCCTGGGCCTCTGAGGCTGTGGCCGCAGGGCTTTTAAAGACGCCTCTATCGTAACTCGTCCCTGTCATGTGTGTCTTATCAGAATGGGAAGATGGGCGAACGGAACAGGATAGAGACGTATTTCCACTTCTCATGCCAGTTGGTTGCAGGCTCCCAGAGGCGTGCAAAGACTGGCTCTTTCCCACAGCGTGGTGTTTTGCAAAGGCGCAGGTAGCGTTACCCACTCTCATGTCAAAGGTCTGGTTTAGCTGCAAGGCATCTGGGCAGTCTGCACAACTCCAATCGCCCTCCTGGGGTTCCCACGCAAAAGGCGGAGATGTCTCCTCAATCTGGCCCTGAGGGGACCGTCGGGAATGACAGCAGCTACGCGGGTGCCTGGGCTCCCCTGTGACTACAGCATGTGCGGGGCCAGGGAAATCACTTGGAGCCTTTTGGTGATCAAGTTCTTCGACACACTGAGGGTTTAAGGCCATGTTTTCACCACCGTCCGCAGCAGTGTTGGCTTCATAATCCACCACCATGTCGTCTGGGTTGGCAGAATGCCAACAGCCTGC